ATTATATATATATTATATATATATATATATATTTTGAATTTTCAAAATGTGGGGGTTTGTAATAGAGGTNAGGGCTCTAAACAATTCAAATTTGGAACTACACCTTCAAATAGTGTTTTGAAATGTGATTTCAATATTGAAAATATTTGTGATAGCCTTAAAATATTTTTTATTTTTAATTATAAAATTTAAACCTTCAGTATAAATTGAGCAGGTCAATGAAAACTTGAAAATCTTGAAAATTAGCGATCCAAAAATGCATTACAAGATACACTATTTGTGGAACGTAAATCTATTTTTTCTCATGTCCATACATCTTGATGTCGAGATTATCAAATTGAAAATATTTGGATATCAAAACAACCTCTTGTGGTGAAATTTTTTAAGTAGGCTCTAATTTGACTGTTTAGAACCGAGGCTCTGTATAAACTTTGAGTCTTGCATAAACTTTGCCCTTTCATAATTGGCACGAGCTTTTGGCAGTCTCCATGAAAAAAACTGCTCGTCTCGTTTGTATCTTGGGCCCCACCCCACATTGGTTTTCGCTTCCCCTTATTCTCATGCACATGCCATGCCCAACATCATCACATCACACTTCTTTTCTTTTCCATTCAAACTCCAATTTCGTCCCTCCAACAGAATTCACCGTCAAGGATAATGAATTCTTCATCAATCGCAACCGGTGATCTAAAAATGCCAGCTTGGCTGGGAATTGTCGGACTCGACTTGAGAATCGGTTACTTCATTTAAATTTTTGTTTTTTTCTGTTTTTTTACATCATATATTTATATTATTGACAACAAGATCACATTCACCCACCATTAGATTTCAAGTTGTTTGATTTGTCGTTTAATAGCTAAAAATGGTTAAGAGTTATTATTGTATAAAATCCTTAATACACCCAAACGAATAGAGCTTAAAATATTTTATATCTAATAGTTTACATGTATGAGTCCGATCCACTTGGACCAAACTTCGGGTCCAGGTTTTGGACTTGAACCCAACCCGTTGGATCCGGATCCGGGTCCATTGCCACCTCTAGTCATCATTCTGTTTTTTAAATCATTGATTGCAACCTGTTAAGCTTCCCAATATCTCCATCTTGGAATGGATAAGCTTTACATGTGTTACTCATGATTGGTGACTTCTAGGTGGGACCACTGACCTTATGAAACTTTTTACAAAACCAGAAAAGTAAATGCCTTGATAGTAAATAGTTGGTACTCAGAGTTCTTGACTTAGAAATTATTCTTTGTACAAACCTAATATGTCCAAGGTAGATTTAAAATAATATAAAAACAAGTATACATCTAAGCATAAACAAGTGCCCTATTGAAAATTTTCGAACATGACAGTAGATAGGGCTGAAAGTTAAGGCCTTAGGGGTGGCAACCTGCAAGGTCCGGACTTTTATTTGATTCAATGGGTCAAGTTGGGCTTCATTGGACCTTGATCGGGTATGGGTTTCGCCTTGACCCTTTCTGGATGGATCGGGTTCAGGTTCAAGTTAATCCGACCCAACCTTTATATATATATATATATATATATATATATATATATATATATATTTAATTGATCAAAATACAGTTAAAGCATATATTATTTAACATTTTGTCAAATTTTTTATTTAATTTCAAAGATCCCATTAGTATATAGGAGATCGTGAGTTGAACTCAAAATGGTTGAAAATAAGTAAAATATTAAATAGTTGACAAGTTGGATATGTTATTGATAAATATCAACACATATATGTGTATATCTAAATCTCCTCTCAAACCCGACAACATAGTTGGGTCGGGTCTAGCTGGGGTAGCACTGGCCCAGACTAAGTTGAATTACCCTAACTAAAGTTTATTGTGCTAAAGACTAAGTAAC